GGAGCCTTCTCCTGGTCCGTGTACACCTCCCTCTGTATACCAGGCTGTAAAGGGTCCGGATGCAGCAAACATTGAACTTCACATTTTTCTTGTTCTTCTTGATCCTGAAACATCTAGCATCCTTTCGCCTGGCTGTGTAGAAAGTCTGTTTGAGCCTGGCTGTAGGGAACAGTCCCAAAAGCTCAAGACTACTGAATCTCTTTAAGGGCAGCTAGAATGTTCTGGAGCTATATAGTAGTAACAATTTCATAGCCTTTCAGATTTGCTGAAGCCATAAATTGCATACCTGAAAGGGTGGATTTTATGGAATGTGAAATAAATCTCAATTTTAAAAAGTACATAACAATGGATTGGAGATGTGACCCTGTGGTAAAGCATTTGTTCAGTATGAGTGTGTAACTCTAGCTTAATCCCCCAAAATCATTTAAAAATAAATGAAAACAAAAAATGTCAAGAGGCAAGCACTTGGGAGGTGGAGTCGGTACTGTGACATCTGGGTCACCTTGCCTTCAAAAAGAAAGGGTAGCTAGCTACCTTAAAAATAAAATCAAAAACCAATAAAGACTGGAAAATCCATACCTCTTAATATTATGAAATTCCAAATTTTTAAGGTCAAGTGGGGTACCTTATCAATAAATGTAATGATCTATTTGAATCCATAGTGTCAGATATGTGATGTAATTCTAGGCAGTTGTGAAGAGGAAAGCCTAGGTTATATGACACATATTTTCAGTACATGTGTGTGGTTTAATTGCAACCATAATTCTGCTGTCGGTCAGTGTTATGGCTTAGTGGCAGGGAAGGCCAATAAGACACAGATTCAAGCCAAAATAAAATCTTTATTAGCAAACTGGGTGTTCGGGACCCAAGTGCAGCCCCGAGCCTTTCCCACAGTGGACTTTAAAGCACCAAAACTACATCCTGGTTGACAGCCAGCGAGAAGAAGCAGAACGGCAGAAGCCAAAAGTCAAAGTCAGTGCATTTAGGGACTGTCCCAGAACTACATAGACATTGATGAATCGGGTGTTTGTTTTGGTAGGTAATGATGTCTCCATGCTGGGCTCCATCATGGCGTCAGCTGTGCCAAGGTCTACTACAGTCTGGAGGCTGTTGGCGCAGAGGTTTGACAGAGCCGTGGAGGAAGGGTCAGACAGTCGCCCTTAGTGTGTCGGAGCTGCACTATTTACACTGTGACGCTCATTCTGATCACGGCAGGAGGGGACAAGGGAAGGTGGCTGGGGTAAAAAGCCATGGGTAGTTTTTCTTGCAGGCAATTTACCAGAATTTAGGCAAAGGCTGGACCTGGATGAAGAGGGAATAGAAATCTATTTCTTTATCTAAAGCATGATTCGCCCACTATTAAGAAGTCTTTTCATAGCAGGGCGGTGGTGGTGCACTCCTTTAATCCCAGCACTCAGGAGGCAGAGGCAGGCGGATCTCTGTGAGTTGGAGGCCAGCCTGGTCTACAGAACGAGTTCCAGGACCAGGCTCCAAAGCTACAGAGAAACCCTGTCTTGAAAAACCAAAAAAAGAAAAGAAAAAAGAAAAAAAAAAGAAGTCTTTTTGTTCTGGAAAAACAACAGAAACAAGAAAATATTAATGTCTGTCCCCTTCCACTTCTGAAGCGGTGTGATTGGTTCAAGCTTGGGTGGTGACCAAAACAGATTCACTTTGGGGTTTATGCTGGGATGGCTGGGGCCTCAGTATTGGCCCACCTGACAGGGGCTAAACTGAGAATATTGACACAGGACAAGTAGAGACACAGGAAAGGGGGACACAATGTTCTAATGTTCTCAATTATTTTGGACATTTTCTTCTTTAAATGTTTTGTCTTTGAAAATAATGTCGAGGGCTAGAGAGATGGCTCAAAGGTTAGGCTGCTCTTCCAGAGGTCCTGAGTTCAGTTCCCAGAAACCACATGGTGGTTCACAACCATCTGTAATGATATCTGGTGGTCTCTTTTGGTGTGGAAGCATGCACACAGAACACTGTATACATAATAAAAAAATAAAATATTTTTAAAAAAGAAAATAATGCTGTATACCAAGATGCTAAGCTTTTGCAGTCTATTCCTGGGTTCTCTCCCCTGGCTCTGCTGGAATGAGCCCTGGACAGAGCTGGGAATGTGGATTTGACCTGCTAACTAGAAACTGTGCGATGCACCATTTAGTGAACCAAAAAACTGCTGAGTGATCCTGGGTGATGTGAAAACCCTCTTCTTGACAAGTGTTCGTCATGGTCTCCTTCTGCATGCTTGCAAAGGGGCAGCAGGTGACAGCTTGTGCCTGTGCTATTTACTCTGTGACTCTGGGTAGATGACACTGACTTGGCCTACACGTGTGCCGTGTGACACGTGTGCGTGCTCTTTCTACCTATTTTGCACCTTGAACGTACTGTGTGGACCAGTCCATTCTCTGTTTGCCTAATGCCACTTGGGGCCGGATTTTTGTTATCAGCAAACAAGGCTCCAGTTAACCTTGGTCAAGGAGAGGAGAGTTCATCAGGCTCTCTTAGGTTTCAATGACCTTTCCTAAACTAGGACCAAGCCTTCAGATATATGGGCCTATGGGGCCATTCTTATTCAAACTGCGCATGACTTCTGATTAATCTGCTTTAAATTTGGTTAAGCTTACTTGTCTGAGATCCATCTTTGCTAGCGGCCAGGGATCTTACACTTGGCTTCAGTCACACTCTTACACTGCAACTTGGTGCCGGTAGGTATGATGGTACAATTAGTATGAGCTCCAGGCTTCCCAGAATCCCCCTGCACACCTGTCTAGGCTTGGGGGCATCGCTGAGATCATGAATGTCCGTCAGAAACAAACTGTTCCAAGCCTCTTGTGGTAACCCATTCATGCAGCAGGCTGTATATATATGAAAGAAGCTGCCGTTTGTGGCTTTTACACACCAGGCCCCTATGAAAGAGGAACCTAGTCAGCGTGTATGTAAAGGTCAGAGGACAGTTCTCAGGTGTGTGAGTGTCACAGCGTGTATGTGGAGGGCCGAGGATAGCTCTCAGGGGCCACTTCTCTCCTCTCATGGTGGATCTCAGAGACTGAACGCAGGTCATCAGGGTTATTTAGCACACGCTGTTACTTGCTGAGACATCTAACTGGCCCCTATAATCATATATTTATGCTAAGCACGCAGCACACACCATAACCCCAGCACATAGGCAGTTGAAACATCTCCAGGGCAAAGGCCTGCCTGGGCTGTAGAGTGAGCGAAAGCCAGCTCAGCTGCATAGGGAGATAACAACAAAAGGAATACATTTACAAACATCATAATCTGAGACAAAGAACTTCTAAGAAATGACAGTGTTAGAACCCACTTCACATACCCCCTCTTGGAAGATTCACTTTTTGTTTTGTTTTGTTTTGTTTTGCTTTTGAGACAGGGTTTCTCTGTAGCTTTGGGGCCTGTCCTGGAACTCACTCTGTAGACCAGGCTGGCCTCAAACTCAAAGAGATCCACCTGCCTCTGCCTCCCGAGTGCTGGGATCAAATGCGTGTGCCACCGCTTGGCAAGATTCACTTTTTCTACTCAAAATGTGTTTGTCCTGGGTCAAAGATTTTTCCTCATATGAATTTCGTCCTCTGGTCCCAGTTAATTGAACCAGAGATAAAGTTAATCAAAGTCCACAAGTTTATTTATCCTGTCCAGCACAGCTTGGGTCTGACTGGGCTGCTGAGTGAATGAAGGAAAAACAGACATTATGTATAGAAAACCTGGGGTCTGGTGGGCTCTCCTCACTCTGATAGAGGGCAGTAGCTACAAAGCAACAACCTGGGACCTCAGGTTGTTTACATTGGCACAGAGGGAGCAGTTAGCTCATCTCAGTAGGAGCATTGGTAGGCAGTCGTCACAGACTTTAGACATCCAATATGCACAGATTAGGGAAGGGGTTTGCTGTTTCTCTGAGTCTGACAGCGTAGGATAAAGCTTGGGCATTCCCA